TGACAGTGTCTTTAGTTCTAGTTTAAGATCATCATGCAAATTACTAGCCTCAATAATTATCGGACGCCGAACAAAGCGTTGTGAACTGCAAACACGAAAAATCAGGCTGACTCCGGACCTGATCTTCCTTGCATCGATCACATATTCATCATTTGTCAGATTTTAAAACACAGACACGCTTGCAGGCATCCAAAAATAATGGCTTTTCCTGACAAAAAAGCAGTGTTTAACTCTGTAGACCGAGACGTCCTGTGACTGTGTTTGTCAATGGAAGGCATACCTCATATGTACATAAATCTTATGACTGCTCTTTACTCGAACACTACCAGTCAAGTCAAAACCTATGGAGAACTGTCATTTGATTTCGATAACTCAAGTGGTGTCCGATACGGCTATCCACTATCTTAATTTCTGTCCAACTTCATCGTAGACTTACTACTGAAAATAACGTTTTCGTCGACAGAATATTCGAGAATCAATCTCCTACCAGGATGTCCACTGAGAATACACAGATGAAATAGTCCTATTTGGTGAAGACACTGATTAAATGAAACGCACTGAACAACAGTGTCAGGATGTTTGGGATTCGTTTCTCACCCTCTAAATGCAATTTGTTGCTTCAGAAGTGGTCTGCATTAACATCTGAACTACGGATAAAGGGTGAAGTATTCAAACGCATCGATAGTTTCACCTAACTTGGAAGTCTAATCAGCTCTGATGAGTTGATATCTAACGAAATCCCTACACGGATTCAGAAAGCTCTTTCAACTTATGCCAACTTACCTCGCATGTGTCAAGGGTGAGATATCCATCAATCAATTAAAGAACGAGTATGTTACTCAGCAGTTCATTCTGTTTAGCTTTAAGGCTATGAAACGTAGGCATTAAGGGTAGAGGATACTCGCTCATTTTCGCTCATGTTTGTGCTATTGTGTAGAATTCGTCTGTGGTCATAAGAAGAGAATAGGGAGACGACTTAATTGTTCAGTCAGAAGATTTATCAGTTACAAAGGCTAAAATAAAGCATTCTAATGAATCAGACAATGGTGTGTTAAAAAGTGGTGTTCTTGTGCAACTGTTGTGAAACGAATGCTTCAAAAATGTTTCACTTGTAAACCGAAGAGCTTATTCGGAATAGGTTGAAGTGATTCCGTGTACGACATCAAAATACGATCGATATGATGATCAAATGAATGATCTAAATAAAATACATAATAGGAGAAATCCATTCGGTTGATGGAGTTATTAATCTTGGGCAGACGATTTATCCACTCAATTCTTCACACATTCATTCATAGTACAACATCTGATATTATCAGTCAACAGTCTAATGAACACTCAAACTAATGGGAAATGTTTTTTTGTCAATGAGAATGAGAGGATTGGTGCATACAACTGATAGTTGTTTTGTACAATACTAAACTGTCATAATATACTGGGATTATTGTATCTTGTTGAAACATGAAGCTAAGTGTCAAGACGAGCTTTTGGTGAATGCATTTAAGTAGTATGATTGGATGTCTAACCAAGTTGTATATGTTTATTGGTTGACATGTATTTATTGACTCTCTTGATAGTAAATACAGTATAGTGAATGCAGTACTATAGTCGACAGTGGTATGTTGACTACGTAGAATTTGAAATAATTTGTAACGAGTAGAATGACACCATTGGTTGTCACAGTCGAAATTAATGATGATGTGTCGTGTAATCCACCATATTTATCTCACCTTATTCAGATATTATCAGCTTAAAGTGTCTAATACTATGTCACATCTACATGGGTTATTCTGGCTTTGTAATAGACTACCTAATTGATTCAGCTTTAGTCATTATCCATGTATATGTCGACCTTGTAAATTGTTCACTCATAAAACTTGATTGTTCTTATTTGGGTGTATGAGTGTACTGCTCAGTTTATTCATCCTATGTTTTTAGCTTAATTGTCTGGCTATAAATAGTGAGTAACGCTACATCAGGGCCCCCAAATGCCCTGGTACGGCCGAGAGTGGGGAGAGTCCGCTCTTCCTCACGAAATGCTCTCGCATGGCCACGCGTATATAGCCCCTGCCAAGGAAGTCCTACTCACTGCCTTCTCACCATTGGGGTGTTGTTTACGAAATCAATAGGACGAGAAGCGAATGTTCGACGCTTTAACAGTGTTGGTGGACACGGAGTGTCCATCTAGAGAAGTTAGAAAACCCTGACTTCATACCAATGGTGTACATGGGATCCAGGATTCTGAAGGAACAAATGGCGTATGAATCAATCGTCGGTCACCGACTACCATGAAACTGCATCTGTTCACGATACTCCACTGCATTGTGGATCAGACTTTTATATCGGAGGCTCCGTGTGTGGCTACCTAAGAAAACCACTTGTTTCAGTTTGGGCACCCGAACAGTATCACAGCCTTCACACAAATCAAATGAGATTTGTGAGGCGCATATATATCTGGTGTCCCTTTGTACCAATATTTGTGTTTAAAAAAATAAATAAATAAAACTAAGTGGTTGAAGAACGTTTCAAACATCACACTTTCAATCGCTGAATTCAACGTACCCGATTTAGTTAGTAATCAATTCAAACAACTTGAACTATGGAATCTCACACATAACCAGCGAAGTCAGTACACTAACGACATACTCATACAAATCGTAGCATCTTATCGGTGCTCTGTCCATGTATAAGCACTTCTTATTAAACTTTTTCGCCAATGATCCCATTATCATTATTATGTTGTCGTGGTGAATTAATTACATAAGACTTTTACCTGATTAAAGTGATTTAGTTCCATTTGTTTATTTCTTTTGCTCTATCGTTTCCCCTCATTTATTGTATTATCTACATCATACACCCGTTTTTCTTCTGGATATCATCTCATATTATTATTTCTATGCCTTTGGATGGTTTTTAAGTTTGATATGTATTGTGTTGATACGGATCATGTTCATTATGTACTGAATCATCTAACAAATCATTGGCTCTATGAAGCTAATGATCCATTATCGTTCGATTTTTATTTGTAAGTAAGTAACTAAGTGGATGAAGTTCATTCATCCAAATTATTCCATGTTTTGTTGTTCATTACCATCATCGCTTAAACGGAGTTAGCTTAACTTTTATATACATAGTTAAACGGAAGATTTACATCCATGACACATTCACATACTTTAATCTAAATCGGAATCAGATCTCAGGACACCAATGTTCTCTATCATTATGATATTCTTCAGTAGACTACTAAACGACATTAATCAAATGAATCAAAGAAATCATTACTTACTTTTATTTATGCCGGTTACCCCTCGTGGAGGAGCGTTGACTGCTCACCAGTAATGAAATCATTAATGATTGTAAATGTTAATGTAATGAATAACATAGCTAAACTGTTATTACATTATACAACTTATGCTTTTCCTTATTTCTACTTAAGTACTTGTTCAACTATCTCAAGTTATTACATAATCCATTTTCATTATACTATATTAACTATAGTTTATCATTTAGCTATCAATAAACAAACAATAATTAAGCTACCATACCCATATATATTAAAAAAATCTCATCTTCGAATTACATTTGACGGAGAAGCTTTGGAAGATGTGAAAACCTTTACATATCTGGGCTGCATCGTCGATGAACACAGTGGATTTGATACAAATCGGTAAAGCAAGAACAGCATATATACAACTGAAGAACATCTGCAACTCGAAACAATTGTCTGTCAATCAACACCAAGATCAGAACTTTCAATACAAATGTCAAGACAGTTCTACTGTATAGAGCGGAGACGTGGAGAACTACGAAAGCCATCATCCAGAAGATACAGGTGTTCATTAACAACTGTCTACACAAGATACTTTAGATCCGATGGACAGACACTATCAGCAACAAGTTACTGTGGGAGACAACAAACCACATTTTAGTGGAGGAAGAAATCAGGAAGAAGCGCTGGAAGTAGATAGGACACACATTGGGGAAAGCAACCAACTGCGTCACAAGACAAGCCCTCACACGGAATTCCGAAGGTCAAAGAAGAAGAGGATGACCAAAGGACACATCACGCCGAAAAATGGAGACAGACATGAGAAGGATGAATGACAATTGGATAGAACTAGAAAGGAAGGTGCATGACATAGTGAGTGGGTTGGAGAATGCTGGTCGGTGGACTATGCTCCATTGGGATTAACAGGCGTAAGTAAGTACGTAAGTAAATTTACCAGCTGAATTTAAAAGAATCAATACAAACAATGAACTAATTATTGATGGCAATTATCAAGAACCCGGACAGGATTGGATGGGGAATACTGGTATGCGGCTTATGTTCCTCTACGAGGGATAACAAGCGTAAGTAATTATCAAAAAGTTATATATATATGATACTATTATTTTCATAGTTGAAATCATGAGTCGATTGAAGCTAGACCACCATGGAAAACCTGGAAGCAGTGGACGGCCGTTTCGTCCTATTGTGGGACTGACATCAAGAGAGATTTCCTAGAGTTCTAGTTGTAAGCAGTGACCAGTGGAGTTCAAACCACGTCGGTTGTGAGATATCAACTCAATGAAGACAATTGGCAAACAGTTGTTAAAACTTCGTGGATTGGTTGAAGTTAGACATTCACATCATTGGATGCCGGCTCAGTAGTCTACTGGTTAAATGCTCTGGCGCGTGACTAGTAGGTCATGGGATCGAATCTCGCAAAGTGGGATCATGAATGCGCGCTTCTTAGGAGTCCCACAATGACGCGAGACGGCTGTCCAGTGCTTCCAGGTTTTCCTTGATTGTCTAGCTTCAATCGACTGATGATTTCAACCACGAAAATACTGAAATCTCCACAAAACCCCTTCTCATTATAACACTATTAATTTATAAGTAGTATGTTATAACACAAGTCATTTTTATATCAAATAAAAAAACAATTACATATATAATAAAAATCAATAAAAATTACATCATTGATTACATCAGTTACTATAGAAAATGATGCATCATTCTACAAAATAATATGACTATACTACTGAAATGAATTACAACAAGAAAATATCATTGTTTCTATGCAGCACAATAATAATGATACAAAAAACAAATTCTAAGAAGATCATTGATTCCTCTATTGTCTTTTAGATAACCAGAACCACACGATGAAGCCAACGCATACAAGGACGAGACCAATGACTGATGGTATCAAAACATATAGGTAATTAAACATTGGCTTGTTATCCTTCTGATCACTTTTGTTATCCATTTGTTCACTTTTCTTATCCTTCTGATCACTTTTGTTATCCATTTGTTCACTTTTCTTATCCTTCTGATCACTTTTGTTATCCTTTTGCATATTCTGAAAGGAACAAACAAGCAAACAATCGAAATAGTAAAACAGATTTACAATATAGAATGATATTGGGAAAAGCGAAATCTGTTCAGTTCAATAATTACTTACAATCTTTGGACAATTATTAATCATCCAAGCCTTCGAAAGTGTATCACGACCATTACTACACAGATTAGCTGTTAAACACCAATGACATTCCATATCAAGTTTCGATGCACTTAAACATGCTTCATTTGAAACTTTCATGAAACAACTTTCTGGAAAAAAAAGAACAATATATAGGTATTTCAAGTTATTAAATAAAAGATAAATCAAGTGAAGTTAAACCATTATGGGGAACCTGAATGCACTGTAAGGCTGTTTCGTCCTATTGTGTACTCCTCAGCAGTGCACATTGGTTATTGTGATCATGAATACACTTTGAATATAATTCATGTTTTATGACAGTATGTTGGAATTGAACAAAACAATGTAGTGAATTTCACTGACGGTCCTCATTCAGACATGTACACTTTATAATGTCATTGGGTTAAACAAATCATGCTACATTGAATTACTGATGGTTGTAGAGTTTCTTCCCTTCACTTATACTAGCTATTTGGAAATCAGTACAAGAAAGTCAGTTGTTCGTGGAATAAAACGTGACATTGTACTTGCCAAGATTTCAATCAGTCTACTATTATTTTGGAAGGTTTCAAACTGAGTAGTCAGATTCTAATCTATATATGTTATCAATAAACACATCAGATTGTTTGAACAACCAAATATTCATAGATCATACATAACATTTTATTCAATGAGTTTTGAGGAGGGATCTGAACAGTAGATTTGTTCCCATTAGATGTATACACAGTGAATTGGAAAGTCTCTGTAGTTATTCATTGTACATACTGATGAGAAAGAAAACATTATCATTCTGTGAAAGTTGTCAGTATGTTTGATACTGTACAAATATCTACTAACTATGACAAAATGCCATTTGACTATGGTACTTATCTCTACCTTTAATTTACTGTATAAGTATGAGAAAGTAAACGTTTCAGAAATAACACTATTGTTATCAAAGTAATGACAATCACATAGAATGTTTCTGCAATTTCAATACTTCAAGGAACTTCCATATCATATGCATTAAATAAAAGGAACAATGGAAACTTCCTTGACACTGCATCTTTAACTAACTGTCAATAAATTTAAATCAAGACTTGTATCATCTAATCCATCGTATTGTGACATTGTGATTACATAAAATTATTCAAAATGGAGACCAAAATGTTCAACAGAGGGTCTTCTCAATTATGTCGAATATTCAATAATGAATCGAAATGAAATCATTCATAGTTAAGAGAACATCCATTGAGATAGATAGTTACATATTGTAGACCATCAACGTTGATGATCTATATCGAATGATTGGAGGCCTACTCGAGTTAGATGGGAACGGTGCAACGAACAAGCTAACTTCGAAATCGCACATCGCGATCAGCACTTTACATGGATTGCCACATTGACCCATCAAGGGACCGTTGATGCTCTGAAGACAACACAAAGGAAGTTATTACAGGAATATATTAGTTAAAGTAGATGCAAGCGAAAGTAGAACCACTGCCTCATGGGCCAGTCCATGGCGTATGATTAACTGATGCGCGTTGATTGTCCTTGACCTTGACGGGGATCGATGATCTGATTGATATTTAGTGACTCAACTGCCAGATGATTTGACTAGGGTTCAGTGACATTTCAATGGTCCTACAAGATCATTTAATACCCGACTAAAATGACATTTGTAATTCTTGATATGAAGTAATAAAATTAAGATGTTCAAGTATAAAAATGATCAATATTGATTAAATCCGTTTTAACATACTTGTATTTGGTTCAAACTCCACTAAAGTATCAAATTTGATAAAGTTTATCGGAACGTGAATTCGATTGTATGGTTCAAAAACAGTATCTGATTGAATAAAAGAAGAAACACTTCCATTTCATAAATTTCTATTGAAATGATAACAAATAGTTTGTATCATTCAACTTGTAAACAAAGTCAAAGGACACTGTTGACTTTGGATAAAGTGACCATATCAATTGAGTGAGTGCCCTCTTTAATATATGACGTGATGATCCCAGCCAAATCAGAGAGCAGTGAATGATCGATCAGAGCAATGACTCACAAAATCCGTATGAGCAGTCTTGAGTACTTATCAGTCCTGCTATCTGCTTAGCCCAGCCAGTTAAGTCCAGGACACCAATCTCAGCCTCTGTAATATGAATCATTATTCACAAAATTACTGGGTTTTTATACCTATCAAAATGACCACATCGCACATCGGTTTAAGTAGTATAACCATCACACTGACGTTGATTTCTCAAAATACAGTAAATTTTAAATAGTACTCTCACGGAAAGTATTCCAACTTTATTTTGGACATTAGTTCTCAATACTCGAACAGTTTTATTTTACACATGGAAGAATAGACTGATGGCAAGGTGATAACTAGTTGCATTGTCGATATACGTCATTGTACATCGGAACATTCAGAAAAATATCGGTAAAATTGTTCTTACTGTTTTGTTTGTCTAAACATTTGTATCGATAATCAATCCACGATTCCAAATTTTCTCCAACAATTTCCTTGGGTATCTGGAAATAAGCATGGGATATATAAGCCAAGATCTGTCAAACACACAACCACCTAGATCAAAAGCAACTAATCATTTCAGTAGTATGTCATTCATTAGGTCATCATATTCAAAGACAACTAGTCACACACACACACACACAGTATGTATGCTAATATTATCAGTTTGCTTTCCAGGATGCTTCTTACATAGGTATTCTGACTTATTATAGTTGTCGAAATAATTGAGGTTTAATGTACAATCTGTCTTTCATGAGATGGTGCGATACAACGTAAGAGTAATAGCTACGTATGTTCAAATAAAATGTGATTTTGAATCATCCTTATAGATACTAAACAACGTTTCCAGATAATTTCCCATTATTTACGATGAATTCAGCCTTACAACACATCATCTGTTCCATCTTATCACCATTTTACAATTAATCAAGAGCAACTGTATACTATACCAATGGCAAAGCAAGAGCAGTATTTCTACAATTGAAGAATAGATGGAACTCAAAATAACTCTCAACTAATTTCAAAGTGAGAATCTTCAATACGAATGTCAACACAGTCAGTCCTACTGTACGGAGATAAAACGTGGAGCACTACTACATCCATCGTCAAGTAAGAAGGTACAAGTATTTATAAACAGTTGTCAATGCAAAATACTCAACATTCACTGACCGGATACTATCATCAACAGTGTTTTAAGGAAGAGGACAAAACAGCTTCCAGGTGAAGAGAAAATTAGGAAAAGGTGTTGAAAATGGCTAAGACATACATCAAGGAAAACACAAATGTGCATCACGAAGCAATTCCTAGCTTGGAATCCGGAAGAGAAACGGAAAAGAGAAAGGCTCAAGAACACATTACGTCGAGAGATTGAAGCAGATATGAAAAGGATTAATGGTAACTGGAAAGAACTGGAAAGGAAGGCTCAGGACAGAGTTGGAAGGAGAATGCTGGTGGGTGGTCTATGCTCCTCGACGAGGGGTAACAGGCGTAAGTAAGCAAGTAAGTAAGTAACTGTATACCAAGTAGGTGAAAGGCTAAACAATGATATTCAAATAACTATACACTCTAAAATGATCAACAATTTCATCAATAAACCTATTGCAACTATCCTACAATGAACATTTCACAACAGATTATCTTTGAAAGACGAAATAACGATTGTCTAAATTTCACCGTTTTCATAAAATACTCTTATGTACAGTGTTTGTTTTGAATCGGTGGTAGTACATCATCGTCTCCTACAAAAGTAGTACACTTCCAATTCCTAACCGTCTTCGAAAATAATGGTAGAAAAAAGTTTGTTGTTATTATTATTCGTTATAATGTCATGTCATGTGTCTTACTTACTTACTTACGCCTGTTAATCCCAATGGAGCATAGTCCACCGACCAGCATTCTCCAACCCACTCACTATGTCATGCGCCTTCCTTTCTAGTTCTATCCAGTTGTTGTTCACTCTTATCATACCTGTCTCCATTTTTCGGCGTGATGTGTTCTTTGGTCTTCCTCTTCTCCTTTGGCCTTCAGGATTCCTTGTGAGGGCTTGTCATGTGACGCAGTTAGGTGATTTCCTCAATGTGTGTCTTATCCACTTCCAGCACTTCTTCCTGATTTCTTCCTCCACTGAAATCTGGTTTGTTGTCTCCCACAGAAACTTGTTGCTGATAGTGTCTGTCCATCGGATCTAAAGTATCTTGTGTAGACAGTTGTTAATGAACACCTGTCTCTTCTGGATGATGGCTTTCGTAGTTCTTCACGTCTCCGCCCTATACAGTAGAACTATCTTGGCATTTGTATTGAAAATTCTGATCTTGGTGTTGATTGACAGACAATTGTTTTGAGCTCCAGATGTTTTTCAGTTGTAAATATGCTATGTCATGTGTCTGCATATGACAAAATGCTGATCTCCTTTTTCTCATGTTAAGTGAGTTATGATACATTGGACAGTAGTCAAGTGAATGAAACAGCAAATAGAAACAACATTGCATTTTCATTCAGTAATATGACTTACTTCGTTATAGTAAAGAGACATCTTCCCATTTGGATATATCAGATAAACTACCGAACCTACTACATTTACGAAATGAATACTATCATTACTTAAAAATATTGAGGAAACATTAATAAACATTGTTAATGTTGAATTTCACACTGGATACGCCTATTTATCAAGTGATCTAATCTTAGAAGAAATTCAAGTTGAAATGATCTCATTCAAGTGAACGTCAAACAAAATGAAACTAACATATATCCAAAGTTGAAATCATGAGTCCATTGAAGCTAGACCACCATGGAAAACGTGGAAGCACTGGACGGCCGTTTCGTCCTAATGTGGGACTCCTCAGCAGTGCGCATACACGATCCCGACAAGCGGGCGAGATTCGAACCCATGACCTACCGGTCTCGAGCCAGAGCCCTTAACCGATGAATGTCAGATAATTGGTGTTCCAGTCTGAAGTACACTCTCATCTTCATATTCAAACAATAAATCATCAGTTTTTCAATGATATCTAATACTCTAATCAAGAGATATTCACATTTACGTATTATTCTTTATTTCACACTGAAAAACAATCAACCTCATATAGAGAATCGATCACAAGGAGT